TGTTGGCTCAATGCACTCCAAGAGGGAGGTGAATTAGAGTTCCAAAATTTCCTTTCTCTTTGCAATCACAAAGCAAAAAATCAAAGATAATAAAGAAGAGGAACTTGCATAAAAATTTTATAGAGATTTTGTCCAACCACTTGATACTTTGTCTTCTACCTTAGTTTTACTTACCAAAGATTTCCTTCATATTCTCCACTAACAAAAACAAGGATGGCTTAAAAGAGCCACTCAATCCTTTTACAAGAAGATGGGTTTTCTCACAAATCTCATCCATTTACAAGACAAACCGAACAATTCTCACTACAAATTACTTTTGAAAGAATAATCACACCTCCAAGATAACTCTCAAAGTAAATAAATAGAGGATTACAAGTGAAGATCACTCAATGATGAAAATCTCAAGTTAAAGAACAAGAATCACAAATTTGTAAATGAAAGATATACAATGAAAATGTCTAAAACTTGTTTTCAAACTTCCACCAACTATATTTATACCCCATTGGTCGAAAATAACATTTCTAGTCGTTTGAGTTCATTTAGTGTCCTATAGATCAGTTCAAATTCGAGAAAACATGTTGTAGACTTTGCCAAAAGAGCCAGCTATACCTTTAGAGCTAGCTATTCTACTCCATCTACACATTTTGTTTTTCCATAGAGCTTACTACAAAACCCAAAATCAACTAGGAAATTTTAGTTCAAAAGGTTAAAAAATCTTTGAAAAATTTGATGATTAAATATTAAATGTGCCATCATACTCAGCTATAGAGGCATAGTCAGCTTTGCATCCATTTTCCAAGCGCACCAAATTGTAAGTTCAAACTTTTCACTTGTAAAGTTGGCTACAACTTTCATAGCTAGGTTTTTGCATTATCCTTTAGTAGAGCCAACTGTAGAATTGTAGAGCTAGACTCTTTGCACTTCATTACATTTTTTGCATTTCTCCAAAAGCTAGCTGCATAAAATCATAGCTAGCTCTTTGCACTGATTTCAGCATTTTGATTCTTTTTTAGTGCAGTCCAAGTTCATTCACTCTTGTTAGCTTTTAGGTCATAAACTATACACTTAAATAAATAAATTAGTAATTCAAGTGTATTTTGTAATTATTAAAATCATTGGTGCAACATATTAATTGTATAAATAAAAATCATATAAAACCAATATAATGACATATAGAAGTTATATTTAATATAACTAGATTTAGAGTATTTTTTTTTTATATTTGTTCTTATTTAGAAAAAATTAGTGTCTTTATAAGAATTAGTTACAAATGATCTCTTTATCTAAGTCATAAATATTTTCTTTATATTTGAATGGTCCTTATAATTCAAACTTAAAAAAATAAATTTTATAAAAAAAAAGTTTAAACCCCTTTTTGGTTCCTCAACTATTGTATGGACCTTCGATTTAGTCCTTAAACTAAAAAAATCCCTGACTTGGTCCTTACTCTTTACCAATTTTACCCCAACTTAATTCTTCCATTAAAAATCTACAGTTAACTCACATGACTCAATGACATGGCAAAATTTTAAGACACGTAAAATGTACAAATGGAAAAAATGATGACATGACAATATGACATGTTATATTATTGTCTAAAATTTTAAAAAAAGTGGGACCACCAAAATTACAATTTTGCCCTCATCTTCTTCCTCCAGCCTTCTCTTTCTCAAATCTTCTCTTTCATTCTTCTCTTTCTCTTTTTGCCTCCTTTGAATCCACTTTCATCGCCATTCTTCATCAATCAATTATTCATCATCATCATCAAACAAAAAAACTCACAAAAAATAGAAAATCTTTTTGGCTTTTTGCACAAAACAAGAAATTTGTTGGATTCAAACCCAGCGAACGTTGGGTTCCAACCGCCTGAACCTAGGCGTGTTGGGTTTGAACCCAGTAGCTGCTGGGTTCCAATGACTAGAACCCACGTGTTCAAACCTAGTCGCTGTTGGGTTCCAACTGTTGGAACCTAAGCGTATTGGGTTTAAACCCAACGGCCGTTGGGTTCCAGTGGTTGGAACCCACGCATCCACGTGTTCAAACGTAGCGGCCGCTGGATTTGAATGTGTGGGTTCCAACTATTAGAACCCAATCGTGCTGGGTTTGAACCTAGCAGCCATTGAAACACACGTGTTCGCGAACCCAGCAGCCGTTGAAACCCACATGTTCGCGAACCCAGCACGACTAGGTTCCAACAACTAAAACCCACGGGTTTAAACCCAATGGCTAGATTCCATGTGTGTTGGGTTTGAATGTTGGGTTCAAACGCTGGGTTCAAAGGAGCCTAGAACCCCAAGGGGAAAGAGAAAGGGAAAGAAAAGGAAAAAAAATTTTTAATATTTTTTTGTCATATCAATATTTTTTGCCATATCATTATTTTTATTCATATCAGCCATGTTATCTTTCCACGTGTGTTTAATACTTTGACAAGTCATTATATTATTGTTAATTAACATGACACGTCACATGATTTTTAATGAAAGGATCAAGTTGGAGTAAAATTGGCAAACAGTAAGGACCAAATCAAGGATTTTTTCAATTTAGGGACCAAATCAGGGATCCGTACAATAGTTGAGGGACCAAAAATGTGGTTTAACCAAAATAAAAATATTTGTACCACAGTTAGCATTTTTCAAAAGTTTCCCCCCGCCGGGTCCTATGCTGGCTCTGTCCGCGACCATTGCCATTCTGCATCAATCCCATCCTCATGGAGAAGGAATATGGAACAAGGGCCATATATACATCTTGCTTTTCTGGGTTTTCCACATATAGTTCTTTCCCTTTCCATCAAGGAATTAATTCTGCTAGTGACTTGAAGTAAGCTTCACTTCAATATAGATGCCATTTTAATTTGTTATTGACATAATTCAAATAGTTGTCAAAAAGAAAATATATTTTAATTACATAAAGAATAAAGTAAATTTTATCTTAAAATCATTTTAATTTGCCTTACTTTCTATGTTTCAAGACTCAATCGTGAAAATGAATGAAGTTTGGGTTGAAATTTGAAGGGAAATGGCAAAATCAAACTTATGTGAAGAAATTTGCAAGACAAGGAATCAAATAGGGAAGAGCACTGGATATGGGTATGTCTGTTACTTTTAAGTGCTTTATTTATCTGGGTAAGTATCTTACTTGAATTACAAAAAATTAGGTAAATAATGAATATTAAAAAGATATATTAGTAAGCATTAAGTCAAGTGACAAGTATAAGAGTTTATAATTGTTTACTCAATTTGTTAACCATTTTATTTAACTAATATATTACCTATACTTATATAATTGAAATTTTATATATATATCTATTATATTTAATATCTATATAA